TATTGGAATCAGGATCATGGCCAGAGTTTAAACGCGAGACGGAGGCAGTTGTATCAGGTGGTAAAATGGCACATATATTGTAAGACTTGGCATATGGAAAAATCAAGAAAAGGCCAATCTCTGTATACTGGAGACATGTGAAATTGAAGTGTATCTAGCGATATAAATGCTTTCGCTATGGATCCGTGGTCGCTATGGACCTGCGGTATCACTTATGTAGAGAGTTGTGATTTTTAGGAACTGAAAGTAAAAAATATCTCTTAACATGACATCAAATTATAACGTCAAAAAGATGTAGCAAAGTACTGTTTTTCCGTTAGATAAATTTCAAGTAATGGCTAGTGGTTTGCTAGCTAGGAAGGCTACAGTTAAACTAAGATTATTAAATACATATATCAGAAAAATGTACTGCCTATGGCGGAAATAAAGTAAAAGATTATTATCGAGCGAACAAAGGTTAAAAATAGTTTAAAATGTTCAAATCAGCATCTTTTCTAAGAATACAAAAAGAATTACTATAGGATGAACAAGTTTCGACAAAGTACATATATGGACCTTTCCAAACGTCAGGTTAGCAGTTAAAGTGCCATTACGGAATGGCCCTCTTTGAAGTCTCATTTACACATTTGACAGTATACAGATGACTCAAGTACCCACCGAAAAAAGTATACATGTAGGGCAGGCAGGTAAAACATTCACCAGCAAGAAAGAGAGCCTAAAACATTTTGAATAAGTTTGCCGTGGAAACCAGTTGCCTCATTTTAAAACATCGTGTTATCTGTGAAGACAAAATAATAGAAACGAGACGCACACTTCTTCATCGAGGGTTATGTCGGCCGCTTTGGCCGCCTGTCGGAACCAGTGTTCGGTGGCGTTCATCGTGCCGCAGCGGTGTCGTGCCGATTCGACCTCTGTCGCTAGTCGAACTCGCTGCTTTAGCTCTTTGAACTTGTACACGTCGACGGGAAATTCAGGAAGATCCACACCTTCAACAGTCAAACGTAAGCGAGAACAAGCTTACACTTTACACCAATTCTAGAAACGTATCGTATACCGTTGTTTAAAGCGTTGCAAATTTTTTTGTAGCAAATGACGTCCTTTGTGTCCACAAGCATAATGCTTATTCCTTCTTTGTCAACCCTGGCTGTCCGGCCACTCCGATGAACGTAAATCTGAAAGGAATACGATTGCTAAAATGTGATAAGAGAGTGTTTTGCAGCAGCAAGAGGAACTGCCAAATATACCTATAACTTCCTGATAGGATTTATGTAAGAAGAAGATTAGTGTCTGATCTTGACCGATGTCAATCGTCCTAATAAACTTTATTAACTAAACGCTTCCTTTGCATCTTCAAACAACATTCATGACATGCTAACGCTGAATATTACATAAACAGTTTACATATATCTTTACGCTCCATCGAAAACAGAATTTGGTTGATGAACTGGTTTCGTACATAGAACAGCGCAAAGTACGGTTTATTTATAACCAACGCAAAAAAATCCCATTCGGCCTGTCAGGTGATCGACCCGTACCGATTTTTTGGCTCACGTCTCACGGACGACCCTCGTCAAGGTAGATAGGCTGAATAACTATGGAAGTTCCTTTGGTCGTTCACAGCAGTTGGTGTGTGTTGAGCCAGAAGGCGAGTCTGGCCCGTGCTGCTGATTAAGTAGTTTCCCGGCGATACGGACAATACGTCTCATCCGATACGCGTAGAGTTCGCATTCTTTGTTACCTTTGATGCAGTCACAGGACTCTATGATTTATACTTCACTTCGAGCCTATTCAGCCGTTTTCTCTGACAATACTACAGCTGTCAGACTATAGGGAGAGAACGTGTCTTTGATGTGCCGCGTGCGGCAAATTTCTTAGGTCATTTTACAAGCTTAATTTGGTTGTGAAGAGCTGTTGTCTTAAAGACTGCTTCTTTACTAAGCGTTATTCACACTGGCCTGCAATCATTCATCTACTCAAGCTTGACAAGCAAATGATGCTGCCAGTTCTCCTGTAGCTAATATTTTTCGCAGTTACACGCTGACTTGTAAAATTAGCCAAGCGAAATATTATTCTCCGTGTTACTTAATACAGTATAAGGTTTATTAGAACTTTTAACTAGTTTTTATAAGGGCAAATTAAATAGATTTAAATTGCGTTGTTTTATGAACGAATCTGGATAATTATCATATACGGTTGGTTTAATGTTTTACTTCTTTGAGAAGTTCATTACTGCCGAGTTTAAAAGCTCTGTCTATTAAAATGGTAATTAATGTCCCCTCCCCCAGATTTAAAAGGTTACGTAACTTGCGCATATTATACGGGTAGTCACTGAAAAATCGTTGATCCTCAGTCATTCAGAATTCTTAACTACTCTATGGGCACTGAACGTAAGTTCAAAAGGTGGAAACAGGCCGTACGAAATGCAAGTACTCAAAAAATGGTCCCTGTATTACAGGCAAACTGTCAGCACCGTCAGTAAGAATTATCCTGATATTTATCAAGGTTTACATGGCACAGCTCCAAGATACTGTTTCGTCTGGCGAACTAAGAAATCGTTTACAAATAATTTATACTACATAAAATAAAATGCATATGCACACTACTCGAAATATTTTATATGTATCATCATTTTTGCAACTGATCTGCTGACTGCCAAACGCATTTATCTGTCAGTGTGCCTACTTATCTATCTAATTCCCTAGCGATTCTAGTCGAACTTGTCCATCCATTTAGTTTTCTGCGTACCTTCCTGTCCATCTGTATTTGCATCTTGCTATGTTTATATATACACATCAAGCTATTGGCAAACAAACATCAAGCTATTGATCGAACAATCAGGCTATCTATTCAACTATCCGCTAATTTAATAATCTATCGGTGTATTTTTATTTCCAAAATATAAGTTAATTCGCGCATAAATACTATGAAGGCAACCTTCCTGATGTTTGATCATCTGAGTAAACCTATGTATTTATTCATTAATCTATCTATCGATCCATCCATTCACCTGTCCAATTATTTATCTATGCGTCTATCTACCATTTTATCTATTTCAAGTGGTTTATTTACCTCTTTATCCTTTTGCCTATCTGTCTGATCGTCTTTGCTTCCGTGCATCTATCTGTTTATGGACGTGATTGTCTATCTATGATATGTCGATTTGTTAATTTATTTACGGGTTACAGCTTTGTTGATTATTAGTCAGCTCTCAAGAGAGCCAAAGCGAACTGCAACCGTAAAGCGCATGCATTAGGCAACATGGTCATTTGTTTCATAGCCTGTTATCCGTAGATGAACTATTAAATTTATCTATTTATCTTTCAATCGATGTACCTGGGCATACACTAAAAACCATGTTGGGCTAATAGTAGGAAAATAATGAATTCTGATAACGGCTGGTAAATCATGAATCATGTTCCTCTTCCAAGATTACTTACCTTGCGCAATGTTAATGGCTAAGTGATAAGAACGATCGATGTATCTGATGCTAGGCAAGAGCGATTATTGACAACTGTCAGATTCCAGAAACAGCAGTACTTTGAGCATTTATCATTTCAAGCCTCCATATGAATACCAAGCTACATAGAATTACG